CATGACCAGGTCTAGATTCCGTTGGCACGCGAGTATGAGAGAGACCCCAACTACCTTTGTTCAGAATTATGTTTCTGAAAAAAGTGAATAACATTGGAACATCGTGGAGCGGTGAAAACTTTAAATTACCCTAGTCTGACAAAAAAATGAGGCTGACGGTAAACCAAGGACGCGCCCTAGGACGCTTTTAGTCAAGAGAACGTGGCAATTAGAAACCCACAAGAATGCGTTTAACACTATTTTAATTTTAAAAAATTTTAGACCTCCAAGGAAATGGCGTTCGATGACCAGTTTTTTCCGGAAAACCATTAAGATGGCGCAGGCAACACGTATATAATCCAATGAAAAAGCATACGCATAAAGCCAGACTGACAAACACAGAAGACAAAAAGAGCACGTGTTTCGGGCTTGATCATTTCTCCAAACGGACGGGTTTCCGAGCACAAAATACGCCGATCATTCAGGGAGAGGACTTCAGCGACGAATCGGCAGCAGCATCGAAACGAAGTTTCAGGATTCGCCCCACATTAGCAAGCCTTTGCAAAATCGAGTATGGTTCGTTAAAGAGTGTGTTTACATCGAGCACTGGCTAAGACTGACAATTATATACCATCTAGATTGTGCGCCTTTTATGTTTTTCGAGTTAAGGCATTTTTCGGAAGTAATACTGGCCGGAAGGAGCACGAATAGACCCGATAAGGAGGTTGCCGTGGTCCGGAATGCCTATATTGGTCTCAAATTGTAACTAAGTAATTAGTATCCTTGCAGTGCAGTAAACGGCAGATTGTGGTTCCTGCAGCAATATACGGAGCTCGTTTGCCTTACGAGGCCAAATATATCGGAGAATGCCTATTAAAATGTGGTAGTCATAACGCAATTTTAAATCATTCCTTAAACCTCTAGGGCGCATCCAGAAAAAATAACACCCAAAGCCCAAAAACTACCTGAGTGTTGGAGTATCTTCCATATTTTCAGTAAACAGTTTGTCGGTACGCAGCCCGTCAGCAACGATGAATATGACGTTTTTCACTAGAGGGGGTGCATTTGGTCGGACCGGTTTTATCCCGTGCACGAGTGGAGATGTGTAATAAATGTCGAAAATCGAGTAAAACAGGATAAGATAGAGGATCACAGACAATGAAAGCCGCAGCCGAGGAACACTGATGAGGACCATGACTACTATGTCATTCGATTTAAGGCTTGAGTTGCCACGGTGGATGTCTACACTCAACAAGGGCTTGCTATTCGATGTCCGTCAGAAGTCTTGGGGAATTTTCACTTCTACAAGGGAAGTGTTAGTCCTTTTTAGGGCGATACATCCAAAATCATCGGGATGAAAAAATAAATGAGGAAGCAGTAACATAAATTGGTGTTTTATATATAAAAGAAATTAAAACATCGAAACAGATAGATGATTGCATTAAAAGTATAAAAAGCGTGAATAAAGAGTAATAGAACTGGGAATTAAATGGCAATTTGCATGTTTCTTATTATCATTCATAACGCCGTCTTAGCTTCGGTCTAGCCCTGCATTAGCTGCCCACAGTTTGTGTGCAGCTGGTAATCCGATTGATCTTTGCCACTACTGATGTCAGTCAAGTGGAGGTACTATTGAGCTGGTTTTGCCTGCAGAGACGACTGATAAGTGTCATCCAAACACAATAATACCCAGAGGCTAACTGGATGGACAAATATCGAGTATTTTCTATGTCAGGATTGTATTCTATGTGAGACCCGAAATCGGGGGTATTGGTGGTTGGTAATCAACCGCAAGGAACGCCATCAAACC